GGACATGGGGACAGCAGGGACACAGGGCAGGCACTGGGGACATGGCCAGGGACAGTGGGGACACGATGGGGACACGGCCGTGGTGGCACCGGGGACACCCCAGGGACCTCGGGGTCACGGGCAGTGACATCGGGGACCCAACAGGGCCCAGTTTGGGCTCGGCTTCGGGGACATTTGGGGTTTCGGGGTGAATTTGGGGGTTTTTGGGTGTTTTTGGGGTTGGTTTTGGGGCAGGTTTTGGGATGGATTTTGAGGGTTTTTGGGGTGGATTTTGGGGTGAATTTGGGGATTTTTGGGGTGGATTTTGGGGTGAATTTGGGGATTTTTGGGGTGGATTTTGGGGTGAATTTGGGGATTTTTGGGGTGGATTTTGGGGTGAATTTGGGGATTTTTGGGGTGGATTTTGGGGTGAATTTGGGGATTTTTGGGGTGGATTTTGGGGTGAATTTGGGGATTTTTGGGGTGGATTTTGGGGTGAATTTGGGGATTTTTGGGGTGGATTTTGGGGTGAATTTGGGGATTTTTGGGGCGGGTTTTGGGGTGAATTTGTGGGTTTTTGAGATGCTGGTTCGGGGTGTTTTTTGGGGTCGGTTTTGGTGTGAATTTGGGTGTTTTTGGGGTTGGTTTTGGGGTAGGTTTTGGGATGAATTTGGGGGTTTCTGGGGTGGGTTTTGGGGTGAATTTGGGGATTTTTGGGGTGGGTTTGGGGGTTATTTTGGGGTGATTTTGGGGTGTTTTGGGGCCCCACCTTGGTCCACGCCGTTGATGTAGAAGTGCAGGGCGTTGTTGGCCTTCCGGGTCAGCCCGATGTGATCCCCCTCCTGCGGGGACAGCCGGGGTCACCCCCAGCCCAAAACCGCCAGAATTCACCCCAAAAACCCCGGGGGGGCCTCAGGGACGAGGGGGGAGGGGCAGGGACAGGGGACCCCCCCCAAAAATGTCCCCAGGATGGGATGGGGACAATGGGGGAGGAGGAAATTGGGGGATTTTGGGGGGACCCAAAAAATCTGGGGGGTCCCAAATGGGAAATTGGGGGATTTTGGGGGCACCCCAAAAATTTGGGGGTTCAAGGGGGGATTTGGGGGTGGCGTGGGTGGATTTTGGGTGGATTTGGAGGAAATTTGGGGCTCCACAAATAAAAATACCCGAAGCAAAATCATCCCGATTTCTCCATCTCAAGGAGATTTTTTTAGGGCATTTTTGGGATTTTGGGGTGTCCGGGGCTCCCCCCGATTTTGGGGTGCCCGGAACAGATTTTGGGTGAATTTTGGGTGAATTTTGGATGAATTCTGGGAGACTTTGGGGTTTAGAATGACAAATTTGGGAGGCAGAATAATCCAAATTTCTGCAACACGACGGAATTGTTTAATGGGATTTTTGGGATTTCTGGGTGTCTGGGGCTCCCCCCGATTTTGGGGTGCCCAGAGCAGATTTTGGGGGTCCCGTAGGTGAATTTTGGGTGAATTCTGACAGATTTTGGGGTTTTTTGGGGGTTTAAAACAAGAAATTTGTGAAATAAAATAATCCAAATTTCTGCAACGCAAAGGGATTTTTTAAGGGAATTTTTGGGATTTTTGGGTGTCTGGGGCTCCCCCCGATTTTGGGGTGCCCGGAGCGGATTTTGGGGGTCCCGTGGGTGAATTCTGGGTGGATTTTGGGGTTTTTTGGGGTCACCTGCAGCTCGTCCAGGCTGAACTCGCAGTACTCCCGGCGCGTCCCTTTGCCGTTGGTCAGGATCCCGCAGCCGCTCATCATGATCGTCCCTGAGAGCAAAATTCGGCATTTTCGGGCTTTTTGGGGCTTTTTGGGGCGTTTTCCAGAGATTTTGGGGCGTCTTCCCGAGATTTTGGGGTGTTTTCTGGAAATTTTGGGGGATTTCCCAGAGATTTTGGGGCATTTTTCAGAAATTTTAGGGGATTTTTTGGGTATTTTCTGGAAATTTTGGGGGATTTTCCAGAGATTTTGGGACAATTTCAGAAATTTTAGGGGATTTTTTTGGGGTATTTTCTGGAAATTTTGGGGAATTTTCCAGGGATTTTGGGGCATTTTCTGGAGATTTTTGGGGCATCTTCCCGAGATTTTGGGGTGTTTTCTGGAAATTTTGGGGGATTTTCCAGAGATTTTGGGACAATTTCAGAAATTTTAGGGGATTTTTTTGGGGTATTTTCTGGAAATTTTGGGGAATTTTCCAGGGATTTTGGGGCATTTTCTGGAGATTTTTGGGGATTTTCCGGGATTTTCCAGAGATTTTGGGGCACTTTCCAAAGATTTTGGGGGATTTCCCAGAAATTTTGAGCGATTTTCCAGAGATTTTGGGAAGTTTTCTCAGGATTTTTGGGGGTTTTTCCCAGGATTTTGGTGGATGATTCCCAGGATTTTGGGGGATTTTCCTGGGATTTTTAGGTGATTTCCCAGGATTTTTGGGAGATTTTTCCAGCATTTTTAGGGGATTTCTGCCCAGGATTTTGGGGTATTTTCCCAGAATTTTTGGAAGATGCTCCCCAGGATTTTTAGGATATTTTCCCAGGATTTTGGGGTATTTCCCCAAGATTTTTGGGATAACTTCCTAAGACTTTGGGGTGTTTTCCCAGCATTTTGGGAGATTTTCCCCCAGGATTTTGGGCTAGTTTCCCAGAACTTCTGGGCTGATTTCCCACAATTTTTGGGATATTTTCCCCAGGATTTTGGGGCATTTTCCCAGGATTTTGGGGTATTTCCCCCAGCATTCTGGGCTGTTTCCCCCCAAGATTTCGGGCTGTTTCCCCCAGGATTTTGGGGCATTTCCCCCAGCATTCTGAGCTGTTTTCCCCCAGGATTCTGGGCTGTTTCCCCCAGGATTTTTGGGGGCATTTCCCCAGGATTTTAGGGCATTTTCCCCAGGATTCTGTGTTGTTTCCCCCAGGATTTTTGGGATATTTTTCCCAGGATTTTGGGGCATTTCCCCCAGGATTTTGGGTTGTTTCCCCCAGGATTTTGGGATATTTTCCCCAGGATTCTGGGGTATTTTCTCAGGATTTTGGGGCATTTCTCCCAGGATTTTTGGGGCACTCCCCCCATGATTTGGGGCACTCCCCCATGATTTGGGGCACTCCCCCCAGGATTTTGGGGCTCTCCCCCCATGATTTGGGGCACTCCCCCATGATTTGGGGCTCCCCCCCCGGATTCGGGCCCGCTGGGGCTCACCCGAGCGCAGGTTGGTCATGGTGGCCGGGTACTCCAGGCTGTTGGGGTTGTGCGCCGTGACCCCGATCTCGATGGAGCCCGACCATTTGTCCACCAGCTTGTCGATGCGGATCTGGGGGGGCCACGGGCTCAGGGCACCCCAACACACCACAACCGCCCCAAAAAACCCAAAACACCCAGAAATAATTAAAAAAAAAGCCACAAATCAATAACCCAAAAGAACCAAAAAAAAAACAAAAAAAAACCTCAAAAAACAACAAAAAAGAACCCAAAAGAACCCAAAAAACACCCTAAAAAAAACCAAAATATAACACAAAAAAACCCAAAAAAATAAAAAAAAA